AACCATCTAGTAGGTTCTCCGAAGTTTTCCTCAAGATAGCTGGCGTCGGAATGATTAGTTTTATGCGGTAAAGTGAATGATTAGAAATAATGGAGAGTAAACATTTTCAAACTCTGAATTGGTTAGGTATGCCGCTGTCGTACGGATGAAACTTCAATGACTAGTGACCCGATTTTGGTAAGTAGAACTAGCAGTGTGGGATGAACCAAACGTCGAGTTAAGGCGCCTAATACGAACGTTTAACAGATACCATGAAAGGTTAGTTAATAGAGACAACAGGCAGGATAATGGCCATGGGAGCTGGCATTCATTAAGAAGCGTGTCGCAACTCACCTGCCGTGAAGTGTGGATGGCACTAATACCTGTAGCCTATATCGGACCGCTCGTGTTTGTGGTGTTGCACGACCGACTGAAGTCGAGAGTTGGAAAAGCGCGACGATGTGCTACAAAATCAGTGCGTGAGCCTTGTACGACCCATCGTAGCTGAGTCTCTGTCGAAATAAATGCTTCTTCTGCAGCCCTTGTAGCCCTGTTTAGTGATGATATTACTCTCCAGTTCGAATATACCTTCTCGATTATTATGTATAACTTTTAGCCTTTACAGTCATGGTTGCGCAAGCAGCAACTTCAAAACGCTCTTCCATTCCCTGTCATGCTAGGCTGGTTAGCTCTGCAGGGTGGATTCATAAACGCGAAATCTAGTGGTTAGCTTAATAATACCTTTGTTAACCTTAGAGAAGGAATATGGTTGTAGCTGCAAAATTTGCACTATTGACTTTAAGATATTATCAGGCTTTACTATTAAATGATAATCGTATTCAAAAGTCGCATCGAAATTCGATATCCTTCACGCCTTGTACGACATGATTATTATTATTCGTAAGTTATTCGTAGACAAAAAAGACAAGCGGCTAATTCGTCCATCGTGAAAGTGTTTATTCCATATTCCCAACAGGCACTTTCAATGTACATTCCAGTTTTGGAGTTTTGCATGGCTTTCAAGTTTTTCAAGATTCTTCAAGAAGCAAAGCTTAAAATCTGCGCAATAAAGCATTAAGCAGTCTGTCCAAACCTGGATCAGAATTGTGCCAGAGAAAACAGATCTGCATCTACTCTAATCAAGTGATGTCCTTTTCGAGGAACTGTTACAAAACGAAGCACTAATGAACGTGGGTGAAAAGGTCAAATTATAAAACAATAAATGACGGCACGGCTCGCACAAGCATTGCAATCGCGTCCCTTAACAACAACAAAACTTCTTCTGCTAAATCATGCAAGCGACACTTGATCACAAAACAAGAAACAAATGACGGACACAACCCTGAAGGAATTAACTTTCAAAAAGACGTTTCGATGCCTTTCTGTCTGACGGATGCGCCCTCGGCGGCAGGTCGAATACGGTCGGGCCCAGTTCGACATCAGATATTATAGGAATTACTGTGCCGCTAATTTTTAGCATTTCTGCCCATTCGTGATCAGGGTTTCTTAACCAGCATTTGCGCTGCGTTTCATCCATCTTTTTTGCGCACATTTTGCCATCGATTGAAAAAGCGGAAAATGTTATCCACAGCGACACCTGTAAAGAAGCAGTCAGTATTACTCGGCAACGTGTTGAGGAGTCGTGCGCCTGATGTACCTGTGGTGGAGCACTGCCCCAATACCATGGTCAGTCGCTGGAACGCGACGGAACCCATGGTGTGGTTCGTTAGCAGGGTGACCACCGTCGTATTGTTGCATCCGGGAACAGTTTGACTCAGATACGCGCAGCACCTCATGATTTCGGCAACAGATCTACAGACACTATTTTCATAAAGTATCCAGCTAACGAACGCAAAATAAAAAAGCAATTGGGGAACTGAGGAAATTAAAAATCAAAACGAAAAAGCATACGCTTAACAGCCAATAAAAATGATACATCTTTTGTTAAGGTAAAAGCTGTAATGTTAATAATTCATTATTAAGTAATACCAGAATAATAAAGATGAGTCAAAATGTATAAACTATTTTATACTGCCTCCGCCAAAGAAACGTCACTTCGTATTGTGGAAAAGAAATACCCAGAGAAGAGGTGACTACTCTAGCTCAGTAAGGAAAACTCTGGGCGGACAAAGCCTGTCATCACCTGCAACCTGCTTGGGCAGAAGCGGCGAAGGGAAAACGGACGTTCTGCCCAAGACAGCTTTGCAAACATGGACAGTATTCAAAACCAATTACAAAGATGGAATAAACCGAAATACAAGCAAATTTGTCCCCAGTCTCTTACGAACAGCTCGAGTCAGATTACAACGACGGCGAGAGCTACCTCTGAAGCGCCATCCAATGATCTGCGTTCACTACTGAACTGACAACTGTCCGGATTCAACCACGCGACAACGCCAAATTTTGTATATAATCGAGCCATCTGGTCGGCGGTCCATCCGGTTGCTCTGAGTAGTTTTGCCTTAGGGCCTGTCACGAGAGTGCAGAATGTGAGTATCTTCTGTCGCATCCTATTCATACGTTCAAACCATCATACTTCTGATTTCTGAATCTGGAAAGCC